ATATTGTTAACACAAATGCTAAGCTAATTGTACATTTGCAGGGAAACAGGCTTTGTAGGCTAAAAGGAAACAGACCTGCTGTCTTTTTCTAATCTTAATGTTTGGAGATAGTATTGAAAACATATAACTGCAATTGTAAAGACTTGCATGTGGTTACAAATTGGTCTTCCATGTGTTTATAGGTCATTCAACACATTGTGCCTGTGTATTAAGGGTAGAAGGACACATATAATGTGTACTGGCTTCTGGGTTGAAATTGTTTCATTAAATTTTCACTGCTGTTAGTGAATGAGGAGACTGAGCTCAATAACTTAAGTCGACTACATGGGTAATAAGTAGTGAGTGTGATTCCAAAGTTTATGTACTTTCCACAGTACCACATTACCTGCAAGAAGCTGACAGTGTACTGGATAATTTGTTTAAATTGGTAAACTCTTTGAAATATCTTTGATGTTGAATTAAACCCCAGTTGTTTGCATGGAAAATAATACAATAATCTTTTTATTTGTTTTGTTTTGTTTAAAAAATATATACATTTTATTGATTTTTTACAGAGAGGAAGGGAGAAGGATAGAGAGTTAGAAACATCGATGAGAGAGAAAGATTGATCAGCTGCCTCCTGCACACCTCCTACTGGGGATGTGTCCGCAACCCAGGTATATGCCCTTGATTGGAATCAAACATGGGACCCTGGAGTCCGCAGGCCGATGCCCTATCCACTGAGCCAAACCAGTTAGGGCTACAATAATCTTATCTAATAAAGAGGGAATATACAAATTGACCGTCATGCCATAAATGGTTTAAGATGGCTGCGCCCACAGAGGAGGCCGAGTTCCTGTAAAGAGCCTTAATGAGCAATCAGCAGGGACCTAAGGCTGCGTGGTGCTGGGCCAGGGCAGGGGACCTGAGGCTGTACCCCACGCCTGGTGGGGCTTGACAGAGGACCTCTGGCTGTTCCCCCTACCCCAGTACCAGGTTGGGGGACCTCAGGCTGTGCCCCCTGCCTGGCAGGGCTTGATGGGGGAGCTCAGTCCGTGTACTCTGCCTGGTGGAGCTTGATGGGAGACCTCAGGCTGCTCCCCCTGCCCGGTTGGGCTTGACAGGGGACCTCAGGCCACATACCCTGCTCCAGCACTGGGCCAGGGGACCTGAGGCCATGACCCCCACCCAGTGGGGCTTGACAGGGGACATCAAGGCATGTCCCCTGCCCCGGCCTGGGCCGGGGACCTCAGACCATGCACCCCGCCCCAGACTTGGGGACCTGAGGTTGCACCTCCCCACCTGGTGGGGCTTGACAAAGGTGGGGCCAGCTGGGTCTGGGTCTCGTGCGATTTTGAGACACACGTGGGTGGGCGGGGTCTTGACTCTGGTACCCGTGGCATGTCCCAGACTCTGATAGGAGAAAGATTTTCGTATACATTTTACTAATTTTTTTCATCTCTGACACTTCTATTATAGAGAGAGGGAAAATAGCAATATTAAAATATTTCCTCTAATAATTCCCTTTTAATGTGCATGGATTTCATGCACTGTGTCACTAGTCTATATAATAAAAGCCTAAGTGACCATTATGGCAGAACGACCAGAATGACCAATTGCTATGATGCACACTGACCAACAGGGGGCAGATGCTCAATGCAGGAGCTGCCCCTTGGTGGTCAGTGCGCTCCCACAGGGGGAATGCCGCTCAGCCAGAAGCCAGGCTCACAGTTGGAGAACATAACAGCGGTGGCAGGAACCTGTCCCGTGGCAGCGCTAAGGAGCAGCGAGCATGAAGGTGGTAAGGAGTGAGGGCTCCCATACTGCAAGAGGGCGTAGGCCGAGCTGAGGGACTCCCCAGTGCATAAATTTTGTGCACCGGGCCTCTAGTTAATAAATAATTTTACATAATAAAAGCCCAATATGCTAAGTGTCCGGTTGTCTGTTCAACAATCAAAGCGTAATATGCTAATGATATGCTAGGGCCTCTCAACCACTTGCTAAGAATTGCACTGACCACCAGGGGGCAGATGCTCTGACTGGTAGGTTAACTTGCTGCTGGGTTCTGGCCAATCAGGACTGAGCGAGATGGGCTGGACATGCCCTTGAGCCCTCTTGTGGTCTCTCCTGGGCTGGCCGACCTCCCATGCCCTTCTTGGCCCTTTGGGGTCCTTAAGCCTGGTCTGTGCTCCCTCGAGGGATGTCGGAGAGCTGGTTTCAGCCCGATCCCGCAGGCTAGGCGGAGAGAGCCCACTGGTGCACGAATTCGTGCACCGGGCCTCTAGTAATCCATAATAATAAAAGGGTAATATGCTAATTAGACCAGACGTCATTCTGGACGTCCTTCCTGTTAAAGCTGGGCCTGGAGGGAAGCCAGCCTGATCCCGGGTGCCTGTGAGCAGCCCGAGGGAAGCTAGCCTGGGTCCCGGGTGCCGGAGGGAAGCTGGTGCTGGCAGCCGGGGGGAGCAAGACCTACTCTTGCATGAATTTTTATGCATTGGGCTTCTAGTACAAGAATAATCTTTGTCTCATGTACTCAAAACTATAAACCTACTTTTGCCTCACCCTTAATATGCCCAGTGGAGTGAAAAAAGTTAGTGTGATGACCTTATAGTATAGATTTACATATTTAAGATAGATGTCATTTTACATTTGCAAATGAAAATAGCACTGGTAAAAAATGAAGATACACATTTGGGACACACAAGTGCTGTAGTTGGGATATATAGCATATCTAAGTCACACTATTAACCCTTTGCGGTCGTTTGTCTACTCTCAGCCATCAAAGCTTTTTTACCGTTCCGGTCGTATGTCTGCTCTCAGCCACCACAGCAAGGAACCGTACGAATCTTAACTCTATTCATTCATGTATCAGTTCATAATTTCTCTGAAGCTCTTAAGTGC